TTAGTGAGTCTGTTCCGTTCACTTGTCCATTTCTTATTGCCATTTGTTATTTCTAAGCTGGTATTTTGGTTGTATATTCTATCGAACACGCATACATAGGTCCTTGTCCACTACCACCTTGTCCTCTACCACAGGAGTATCATATGAAAACAAAATTCTTAGGGCTAGACGTTGGCACGCAAACGTGTCTTATTGCTTAATCGATGGCTTCATTTTGGGTAACCCAACGACCCTTGTCACCTCCAGGGCTTGCCTTCACAAATATGTATAATTTAGTAAGGGCGAATGGTGTCCGCTTTAGTTATATACTTCTAGGAAGCGTCCATGAGGCTAGAGCTCCGTTTGTTAAAAAAAGACCGATGTTTTTTTCAACACAGTAGAGTGTATCCGCATGTTCCGTTTTCACTGGCAAAAAGAACTTTCTTAGTGACTCGATTACATGATCATTCATTTTCATTGCAATAAGAGCAGCGCATCTGGGGCCATATTATTTGACCTGAGACATAAAGAAACACATGGGAACGTTAACCAAGATCGTTTGAAAAAGTGTCGGTGAAATTTTGATCAAAACAACTTACCTTAGTGTATATTTATCGAGAGTTCAGGCAAACCGATCACATTGCTCAATCGTGAACTTATCCGTGTGATGATTCAGAGGCATCCAAAGTACGTTTGTGGAGCTGTGTTAACACACTTCCCTCGCATGTAAACTGTACAGGGTTCGAACTCCAAGGCAGCCAAAGTTGTACAATGCTGATATGCTCTGATAAGAGCGAAACTCAGTCCAGTACGTCCTCCTTAGAGGCTACTGATTATTTCAAGCAATCAGCCGGGCCACGTTGAGTTAATGCAAAATCGCAAACGTTCAAATGGAGGTTTATCTGCAAATGCGATACTCCAAGTACTGTGATAAAATAATGAGATTGCACAAAACCCAAATCTAGGGATTTCGCCGGCCCCTATACACAGTTTTCGGAACCGCTAACTTGAAACGGGTTTCTGTATAAATGGGTATTATGCCCACCCAAAATCCACACTGACTCAAAGCAACGAGGGCGAAACCTACGTGTCGATTCAAGCAAGACGTGCGGTAACAAGGTCAAGGTGTGGTTGACGTTTAAATCGAAACATTAAGGGCGATAAAGGAGCATAACGGAAGCGACAAATGTGAAATCACAGTGTACACAACAAGATTAGCAGGAAAGAATCAGGTGTGAACTCACCCGAATACTTCAGACGTGAAGTAAGCAGGAAGACCGTGGATGTGAATTTGTACAAAAACTTGAACATATAGACCAAACGTGACACGAGAGCGGCTCCTTAACTTCCGCGTGTTCCAGGACAAATAAAAATTATTGGAATATAAGGTAAATGGGAAAAAATCCGTCGTTTGCAATAAATTTTGTTTAATTTTGCTTTTCATAGAGCAAAGCGCTGAAGGAATTCCTCATGGTATTACCACCGATAACTAGTTGACAGTAGAAAAGCCAATGTTCGCTGGACATAACACGACACTCGTAAGTTCGCTGAAATCCCTTCGACAGCTCATAACCGATCGTTTGTTTCTTTGGGTTCAAAATTTATGCGTACTCATCGAGTTTCCCTTAATGTCATGTTCCACTAGAACTCTACATCGTAGAACATTCGCGAACTACACACATTTGCAATTTTTTGGTGTTTTGGTGTGGCCTCGAGTCCGGCTTGGATACGTCCTATACCATAGGAACTCTGTATTTAAACTGGCACGATTTTACGTCACCCAAGCCCAAGAACTTAGGCGATGAGTGTAAAAGGCCCACAGGGACCAAAGTATGTTTTATTCGGATTAAGTCAGAGATATCCAGGATGAATGCCATTAACGCATACCGCTTCGTACTATCTAATGTCAGATATACATGATAAGTGGTGTCTTTTGGGCCTGAAAATACCCCGCAAGTGCCGCACACCTCTGGGAATCCAGTAATAGCCAGTAATAACTTCATTCATTCGTAAACGCAGATACAGAAAAACCCATACGTAAAATCAACATTCCCAAAACGGACAAAATTCTATTCAAAAAGGGAAGGTAAGCCGAACTTGGTGTCTCTGCTAGTGTCAAATTGCTGTGCGTAGAAAATATCTATCAGTTGTACAGTTATGTTTGGAGAAAATCCTGACTTACCAACAGACGAGGAATGGTCAAAATATATCCTTCACAAAGGTCTGTAAATTTGCTGACCTGTTGAAAATCCTGACCTGTTGAAAAATCGTGCACATCTTTTTGACTGAAAGTTACGCAGTTGTCACTCCCTGACGGTCCAACATCCTCACTGAGAGAACTATCATCAGTTAGTGTTATACACAAATTTGTGCACAAGACCCAAAGATCTAATATGGTCACGGTGCCCTGTCATCGTCGCACAATTCGGAAGGCTCCCAGGTCTGCTTTATGGAGGCCAGAAGTGTCTGGACTCTGTAGATCGAGAATACCTGCTACATACGGGAACGAACATCGAGGGATTAACACTTTCCCCCACACAGCTACTTTATCGCCCGAAAGTAATATCTTCAGGCTAACCGAAACTTGTTGAGTATTCTAATCAGCGAGTCTAGCATGCCTTAAGCAGGTGTTTTGTTATGGCCTCAATTTGCTCTACACACAGGTCCTTTGACAACTGAAAAACAGTGTACTGTGGTAGAATTTGCGGACGGCATTGTACTGCTATACCAGACACTCACTAAATCAAACAGTATATAAAAGCAACAGATAAGTGGGCTCACGATAGTATGGTGCACTTAAATCCGTTTAACTTTACTGATTGTGCTTACGTTGGAACGATGTGGGCAACTTGATCGTATTTCAAGCTTCATAGCTCCAGTAGCTATCAATGACTGTTTAGTACCTCATGCTTATTAGGTACGATAACTTGTGAAATTCGAAGACTGTGTTGTCACTCAATAAATAATACCAACTTTGCGTCTCACCGGTTACACTGTATTTTACCCCGCCTTTTTAAATGGATTGCTGAATAAGCAATATTTTGTTATCACTATGTTATTGTTCATTTCATTCTCCGTTATTGCTCCATTTAGTTTTCCCGTAGCTATCTTGATTGAAGGAAATGTTAACGATTGTAAAGTTCTCCAAATGACACTGTTCGAGGTTTCGTCTCCGCCACACCCCTATGTACCCCAAGAAAACGATTAAGCACCACCGATGCGCATTTTTACGCAAGAAAGTCCGAACTTTTGAGCTTTTTGATACCTTTCTAAACTTGTGGATGTCACTTCAACCACAGCTGAGATCATATAACCGGTGCATAAGTGACCTAGGGAAGTTCCGGTCCTGATAATTAGTTATTGTTTTCAACGAGATTAAGTTTTGCTTTTTCGGCCTTCATATACCACTCTTTTGTACTCATATAAATCTCCTGATAAGATCTAACTCTAAAAGACAGATACAAGTGACGGATAAAACCCTCTTACTTTGTCCTGTTTCAATATAATAAAACTTGATAAACTCCCGGAAATTATTCTTAATAGCTAGTGGTGGTCGACTGACATGGCGATCTGGGATATTCGCAATGAGCAGCGGCAAGTCCTACCTTAATAAAACCCTGCGTTTTTGTTTCAACAAAGTGAAATACCACCAAACGCAGGAGCATAAATGAACCGGATGGTCTGGGGACTGCAAAAGATAGCGCAAAATCTTCCATGGTATTCTTGAGCTTTTGGCTGAGCTTGTTCTGTTAGACATCTTAAAGATGAAGGCGAATTTCAGACAGGCCTTCCCTCAGAAAATGAGTGATTTGCAAAGGGCGGCGCAACAATATGCCCAGAGCTGTAAATTTTGCTCCATTTGCAAGATCATCATAACTTCGCTAATGTAGTTGCAGATGTTCATGTCTGTCCTCTCTACACTCAACATGTTCACCGGTGTTACATCTATAAATAGGTAGGTAATTAGAAAAATGGTTTATTGGCACTAGGAGACAAATGAAATTATCCTCTAGATAAGAGAGCAGATGTGACGAATCTTGATGACAGAAGCAATTTAGCTTTTGAGTCGCGAACTCGCCGAGCAAGGATTGTGCGACAGGTGGTGACTAACATGCTGACCTGCTTAGTTGTGTGGAAAATAACCTGGGAATTTGCCAGAAAATGGGTAACTTACCAAGCTGCGCAATCAAAAAATTTACAATGGCTCTCGTTTAAAAGGATCTACACGAATTCGCGCCATATCGTCTACCATCTGCTTTCATCCACAGTTACCCCACAGCCCCAACGGAGCTGGTTTCGCATCAGACTGCATTCAAAATCCTGCTCTGTTAGCTGTCTTGAAGACATTGATATCCGTTAACAGTAATCGTATTCAATCCCGGAAATTATTCAGTGATAGTATCATCTACACCCACATTTCAAGTGTGTAACATCCGTACAATAATGAAGGGCGAACACTATCTCAGTGTAAGGCAAACGTTGTACCTCAGCTTAAGCAGTGTTTGTTCCGGACGCGTTACTCAAGACGAACCGACGACGTGCTGGGTTTTGTGATCCTTGTTTTCAATTGTCTGTTGTCAAAAAGGGGTGAGTGCGGTGCTGCTGAGGTATGAGGACTCTGTGTAGCACACTATCTCACAGTTATATAGCTGAATCTGGACTTTCCATTTTGAATTTCCAAATGCCAAATGTATTGGATATATTTATACTTGAGGAGTTTTCATTCAAGCCACCAGTAACCAATAGGCTAAGCAAGGTAGGAGCCATAATCTTGACTGTTGTAAATTGGAGGCTGATTCTGAGGTACACATCCTTCCCGCTGTTGTCCTATTTTGCACCTGACCATTGGCGCTTGTGTGTCTGCAGTTAAGTCAGCCAAACAGGTTTGCGTTGCACAATAGGGCAGTTGGGCTATGTAGATCAAATCAACATCTCCTGACCCGCTGAGCAGTGTTGCTGCGTACTGCTTCAAAGCTGCCGGAACTCCTTGGGTTTTTTCCAGTTTTTGTATTTTCTGTCAGCTAAAGATGCTGAACATCCGGTTCATAGAGTTCTGTCATTTTGGTAAAGAATCCTTTTTGAAGACGGCTATACGCCTGTGGCTGAAATTCTTCACTTCATTTGCTCTAGCTTTTCCCCGTAAGTATTTCAGAAGCATATTCCTGGATCTTTTCATGTGATCTCGGTAGCCGAATTTCTCCTATCCGGGACTGTTTTGATAATCACTAGACTATTCTCTTGAATCATGTTGGATATCGATCAATCATTCTTGTCGAACTAATCGCACCTCCATCTATGCTTTAATCGAGGTGTAACCACGGCAACTACTTAGCTAGATGTTCGTATTCTAGTTGAATGCGCTCGTATCTTAGTAAGCTCCTCTTCTTGGGGCTTATCAGATAAGCCTGTTTCCCAATTTTCTATCAACTTAATTTCCCACATATGGTGCTATCTTAGAACCAGGCTTTTGGTTGATCCGCGAAGCCACCACAGGTCGTGAATATACCACACGTCTTACGTTTTTCGCATCCTTACCCCGATCAGTCATTAGCTTAGTTTTGGAGGGCGCTGTGATGGTCTACTCCACGAGTCCAAGAGAGACTGAACTTGCAAGTCGGACAGTGTGAAAATTTGCCAAGCGTCGAACCGACAGTTTATTGTCGGTTTGGTTGACCTGTATTTGATCAAGGAAGTGCGCTTGCATGTGACCACCGCCTTGGGACTAGATAGCAGTGACTAGCTAGCAGGCCCCATCTACTTGAGTGGAGATACTTCCGTAACAGACGTACGTCTAATAGTAGTCACAATCAGGTGCGCAGGTTATCACCCAAGACCAAGGAATCGGGTTACGGTCGTCATAACCCTAGCTGAACTGTCCGAGATTTTCCAGACCAGGTGTAAGTGAACTATACCGGTGACAGTCATCCGTAGTTACATGGCGGTGTTACATACTTGAACATTCAATGTTTCCTGACTGAGGAATGGTAACAGAACTTTCACTTGGCCATCAAAACCAGGTTAGTTGTTGGATTGTTATTCGCACTTTCGGAACAACCAGCCAAGTTGCAAATGGAAAACAAAGGAGAGTGGTGAGACTACAAATTCTACAAATTTCGTAGCCACTGACCAACCATGGTAAATCTGTAGGTCACGGTTGTATTCGCTATTTGCTGTTTTTACTTTTTACGGGTTTGTACGAAGACCATCTGCGGTGCAAACAGCTATTTTTCAGGATTCGCGCACAATTCAGTGGCAGAAATCTGTCCTCCTCTCAACAGGCGGCATGACGTCAAGGAATAAAGATGCCTACGACATTCTGAAACTCCATATATGGCGATGTTGCTTCCGTTAGCCAACAGAATCAATCCATGAGCTTTTTCTCGATACTACTGTCAGTACTTAGCATCCAGTCTGATTTGCGGTTCATGTTAACCTAGTTTCCCAATCAGATAGCATGCATATGACGTGATCAACAATTTACGCTTTATGTAGTGTGCGATTTTGACGTTTGTTGCTCAGGATTGGATGTCACGTGAACTGCACTTAGACGATTTTATAATGTTCGAAAAATTCTCGTCACTGTTTGAATCACTAGGACTGTTGTTGAATAGAAGACAAAGGAATGCAAATGACAGAAACAGTGATCGAAAGCGACAGACCACTGGATAAAACAGGCTGGCTGGCAACATCAAAAACAGTCACAGGAAATAAACTAAGCACATCACACAAACACTGTGAGTAAGAAGCAAAAGTAACAAAAATGTACTTGAACTGCTTGTATGTTTTGGATCTGAGGATAGGTTTATCTTGGGACCGAGTGTGTATAATGCTCAAAATGCTATTCAGGACTATGGTGTCATTTAACTTTGTATATCTTAGAAACTTTTAGCAGGATGGCAATCTCAGGGCTGTTCCCTCGTTGCAGAATGCTGGGGAGTTTTAGGGCCAATTGCAGCAGTTTAAGTAGACAGTGCCACTGCAAACATATCCCAGATCTTCACTCTATAAAAAGTGGTCAGCTTTTTGGTAAGATCAAGCCAGTTATTTTCCATACGAATGTCTTTTGAGATACACTAGTCTCTCTGAAGGCGAATCTCTTGAAAAACCCTTCCTAGATCAAACGGTTTTTTCAATTCTCACCGGAGCGAACAACCTACCGGGCTGCACGAACTGGGGCTTCGCAGGGGGCTATCAACCGACTGTGAAGAACGCTAACTTCATTGAGATTGCTGTAGACTGGTGACACTTACAGATGTGATCCTCAAAGACAATACCTTGTCTCTTTGTCGATCACAATGATCCCTGGGCTTTATGTCGGCGGGTGTGAAGCCTTTACAACTCGTTGGTACAGACGTTCTTAGAGAGGTAGGCAAGGTGACATAGGCAGGATCAACAGTTTGGTCTAAACTCATACTAGCCCAGTGGTTCTCTTGTTACTTGGAGAAATTCAGGCTGGTGTCCAGGGGTGCGCGTGGTCTTTGTTGTAATATATGGTCTTTTGTGGGATTTTATTTGCAGATGCTTATTAGATCTTGTTGACACATTAAACTAGTCAGAGAAGGTGGAGCTGAGTCACTGATGTCTGGCTACCTTGATGGAGCTAAATGCAGGTTTTGGTGCCGTTCGTATGAACGTCAGTAACGTAATTAGTGCTTCAAGAAGGAAAAAACTAACAATGACACGGTATTCAAGTTTCTTTAGCAAGTTCATTTGCCCCGCCGACACGGCAGAACCAATTACCAATTGATCCGTCATTCAGACTATCTCTTTGGACGATGCTGCTAGCAAACTTTGTGTACTTATGTTTTTTCCTTCGTAGCGTGGGGAGGTTTTAGAATCTCCAATGACAATCTTGTCCTGTAAGTGAAGCCAGTCGAAAACTACCAAATCTGCTCAAACTAATGATGATCTATATGTACCTCAGAAAGGAAGAGAAGTTCTATCTGCGAAGTCGTCTCTTTGAAAGCCGGTCAGTAAACGTGACCACGAGATGTGGGTTTCCTGACTGAAGCATTAATGACAATATATCATGTCCAAGTGGGAGCCAATTATGCTACTAAGCTGCCCCTCGGGGTCGAAAGTTTAGGTATTTGAACTACCAACTGAGAGGTCACGGGTTCAAGACCTCCTGGAGTTTCATGATATGCACACAACTGATGGATTTCCATAAGGATGAATCAATCAGCTGTACAATGCTCCTCGGTTTTCTAGCATAAGTCGGTTTTGCTTGGACGGTGTAACTCCCAATAAAATTACCAATATGTTCAGTTTCCATAAGGATGAATCAGCTGTACAATGCTCCTCGGTTTTCCAGCATAAGTCGGTTTCACTTGGACAGTGTAACTCCCAATAAAATTACCAATATGTTCGCGCTGCACCTTGAATTTGATGCGAACTTAGTGTTGTTAGACTTATTGTGCGGAAACTCCGGGAAGGTCCGTTTATGACTAGATGGCACATCTTCAAAAATGCCGTTGACTTACTTCAGTCAGGTGCCATGCCGTGTATTATGTTCTTTCAGAGGTGACGTAAATTGGAGATTAGGGTATATTTATGCTGAACAGTTGTCATTGCCTTGGTTTGTGCATAGAACCGATCAGCAAACCCCAAGCAATGCACCCCCAATAGGTGATTTTAAAACCAATAGTACCCTAGGAAAATCCTAACATAGTCAAGCCATCTTTCAACTTCGATTCCCCTCATTTGCTGGTATGGTTCCCTGTGGTTGTGCACTTTACACATGGCATGCTCCGAGAACATTCGGCAAGCCGTCGAATCCCCCTCTTCTCTTTGTCCCTCTTTTCTTTGTGTGGACAAAGCACACAAGGTTGACTTTATAACTAAGCGAACCAATTCGTGTGAGACTACTTTGATTGGAGCACATCCAACCTCGAACTGACGATTTCACCTCAATTGGTGATGAAACGTCTGCAATTCAACTGTCAACCAGCAACCAAAAGCGTATCAGAGCTTCTTATTTTCCGTACTCTCGCTAAGTGCAAAGTTGTCTACTGAAAACCTGGTCACTTACAGGGAAGCGAATAGATAAACTCCAACAACCGATGCGAAATACCAGTGTTTGAACTACTGTGTATGTACTTAAGTCGTATCACATTCATCCAGATAGTTAATTATTGAAGATTGTCTGAACCAACAATCAGTTAATTGCGTGACTTGTACAATCGGTTAGCTAGCTATCAAACGTTTCCGGTTAATCTGAAGGAACTGCCCTAAATCGAACTGAAAAGCGAGCGAGCAAACGAAAGCCTTGCAAAAAGAATGCTCTACTGTCCACTGCCCGTTTGTCCGTACAAACGTTCTGTATCGTAGCTTCTCACCTAAAATAGGAAAAGATGGGATCCGCTTGTTTAAAAAAATTACTGTCGAAGGATAATGTTTTGACATTTAACCGTGTGCAAATAAACAGGGGGAGCTAATTTAGTGTACAAATACCACCAAAACTCCCTACAGCTGCAAATACACTATTTACACTTCAGATTGCTGTTAGTGATACTTTCAACTACAAAACCAAACACTGAGATTGGCACAAATTGCTCCTGTTTGTGTAGCCATTGTTGTGCAAGTTGTGTACAATTGAATCAATCCTTAGGCACTGGTATTGATTTAGTTCTGCCTCGCTCTGGCGAAACTCCGGAATTACAAGTGGTTTTACGGCATCACTTCTAACAAATTTTGTATCCGATTGCAGAATTCTATCATCATTCCACCACGAAACTTGGTTCTAATCCTTAGAAAAAAAGATACCGAAACGCCATAGCATTGTACTTGTACGGAACAACCTAAGCTTTTTACTCAGGTGCGTAAACTTATTCTCTGTGAGGTACTCTATTTTGCACTTCCTTGCCGAATATTTGGAAATTTGAGGCAGCAGCTTCTGTTGGTTTTCAGCCACGTGGATTCATCTGAACAAAACAATACTTCATCCAGGTTCTGAAAAAGTCGCCAAAATGCAGCCTGTCCCAAAACCACCAAACACAAGGGAGAATTAGAAATGTTAGGTGCTTGGCAATCCCGTCAGCCCATCTATCACATTCTAGACAAACTAACTCGGTTGTGGCATTCTAATGCTCTTGCACATTGCTTGTCTCCAAGGTCAGTGGATGAATACCACCGGTTTATCGAATAAGGCTTTGGTGTGCTGTTCCGTTAGGTTTGGTTCATTTTACATCTTAACACTTTACAGGACGCCACATGACCCCAGTCTCAAACAGTCGCATTACCGTAAGTTTTTAGGCAGTGATATTACCAAAAGTCTAGTGCTACTGTGTCTTGCCATCCTGTTTATACGCTGTGGTGTGAGCCCTGATGTAATGCTGAAATTAATGTGGTGTTTCCAAATGTGTATTCCGCAAATCGTCAGTGAAATTAGGTCAGGCGAACATCCAGTACAAGTGACTGACTGACGTTCAATAAAGTCTCCCGGACGATTTAGCTGTGAACGTCACTGTATTCGCTCAACAGTTCACCATTCGCTGGACAGTCATTTCAAAATATTTTCAAGATGCATGCCGCATACATCTCCGAGTCCACATGCTCGTCAAGACATTCTTCTAATGGTAACATCCGAACAAACTGTTTTCTTCTGGTTCCAGAGTACAAACAACTTTCTTCGAAGCTTCTTTACCCAAGTTTTTCCTAACTTTCAGAGCATCTACTAGGTATACTTGGCGTTTTACGAACGATTCCTAGTGTCTAATTAGGACTTACGGGGGTTCCCTTGTGTTTCGAAACTGGTTCAGCAAGATTTCCAGTAAACCATGGGATTACGTTTGGTGCCATACAATCTTCACTTGGGTCTGGTTGAGCAGGTCGCGACAACGTCACCGCAACGCCTTTGATGGAAAATTGGTATATATATTAGTGGATTTGGGATGCTCTTATCCATTACGGATGAATTTTGTCGTGGACTAGTACCTTAACGCAAAAGGTGGCGGGCGGGTCGTCTCTGTGGCACGACACCAAAGTTCCTTAAAGAGCATCGATCAGCCTTGCCAACTGTGTAAAGAACCCATCAGTCCTGTAGGCACGGGCGACACTGACTGGTCACTCTTAATATCATCTTTGGTCACATCATCTTAAAGAAACATTTACAACAACGATGCTAGCTTTTAGTACTTTTTTCCTTCAGAACATACTTTATTTACTAAGCACCATCTCAAATGCGGTTAGTGAAGGTGATTTCCTACTGTAGCAACATCTTTCTTCGCATGTTCGTGAACCAAACATAGTGACCGCATTCATTTCAGTCCAGACTGCAGATTGACTTTCTATGTTCTCTGGTTCAGTGTAAACGTTTGTTACAAGTTCACAATCCCTAGAAATCCGGTTCATCGTCCTCTCAAGAGATACTCTGGTAATGTAACATTCATACGCAGTGTATGCATCACCTGATGAACTTAGATTTGCCGAATTGCTAGGCACGACACACTAGTCCGAAGGGAGATTCTGGGATCTACTTAATTATTTCATCAAAACCAACTCCATATGTAAACGAGAGTATTTATCGAACGACCAAAATGTTTTTCACGTTTCAGAACAAAGAGTAGACAATTGTGAATAAGGAGACTGTTGTCTTTAGTTAGTTTGCTTGGGGATGTTGTGAAGTTTGCCCCAGTCCAACGATGGGTTATGCCATTTGATTTAAAGTGGTACTGATTACCAGTTCAAGCTACAACGCGTTTCTCATGCATTAAACTTCTCAAATCACTGTCATTTTTATCCCGTTTGGTTCCTGCCATTTTCTAAAAAAGAGAATATCAAAAAGTTTACGTTTTCCTAATTAGCAAACAATCATCCATTACTTGCTGCGCTTCCTATGACCAGAAACATGAGATGCTGTCAAGGAGAATACTCATTTCTGGACACTAGCGACAGACCTTTGACCAGCTTATCTCCCTTGACAACCTTTGTGACTTTATGTCATGTTTTTACTAACGATGTTGCAGATTTTCTGGAATGAAGTGTTGGCTATTATGAATGACGTTCCAAGGGATATGTACTGTTAGTTGAGATCTTGAATTATGAGAGAGATGGTCAAATTCGCTTTTATGCGTGTAATGTTTGCACTAGACAGGAATGAATGATCTGATAATTTCAAAGGCCCTGCTTGGCCACCCAGTAGTGCTGAAAGAGAGATCATTGAGTAGCTGATTATTAGACACTATCGTCATCGTTAACATCATAACACCAGTGTTCAACAAAGTTGCTTCGCCGCCATACAACCATTATGGTTATCTGAAAAAGAAAAATTAATAGTGGATGGAGAAGAGGTTTGGTGCTACTATCATTTAGTTTCGAAGAGCGTGGTCACAAACATAAAAGTGAATGCAAGCGATGAATGCGAAAGAGTAACAGGAGAATATGGGAGAAAAGAGAGAAACGTCTCATTCGAAATCATGCCAAGAACAGTTCCAGTCTGATGAGATGAATCCCAAAGTATGTAAAGATTGTGCTATGGAAACACGCGTCTAAAGACCAACAACCGAAGAAAGGACAAATATTGTGGATCGCTCTTCAAGGCGCGGTAGGCGCTGGCACAGTCAAGACTCGCACATCAGGCACAAACTGTCCGTCATGCTGGGTCTGGCGTGAGATTAAATGGCAAAAATGTACATTCAACGCCATGTGCCACGCATAAAAGTGTCATAAGTACACAGAGAGCCCACAATGGTAAGCAAACACAAGACCTTAGGAAGTCCCAGTCCAATAACAGCCTTAGCGGATTGAGGAAAGCAGATCCCTCGACAAGAGATGATCATCCGTTGGTGAACCAAAAGTCGACATCACAACCGATTGCATGTAGGGCTGAGATTATGGTGGGGGAACATTCATCAGCACCATACTTCTGCTTCTTCTCATTCCGCACAGTCACTCCGCGCCCATTCGAGACTATGCTGACGTCTATTACAGTTGCACGGTGATCTCGAACAGCGATTAGGTCAGGTTTGATGAAGGACGTCGAGGTAGGCGCTCTCAACTCCTCGAAGACGGTGTATCTCAGTCGACGGAGATGTTTAGCGAGTTCCCTTGCAACCCGATTATGACGAGCACATCTGGCATCATGCGTGATCCGAGGTACTTACACCTCCAGTCACCCATTCAAGCAATATGGATAGAAACTGGCAACAAAAACGCCGCTGGCGTAGATCAGCAGCCATAACTTGCAGACCTTCCAACCAGGCACAGGAAATCATACAGACGCCATATCCAGGCAGGCGATTTGTACTAACAATTTCCAAGTATTTCGTAATCCCTTTCATAATTCTCTTCTTGGGCTACTCTAAACTGAGCGCGGAAAGTATCACAATTTAGCAAACGACGGTTCAGCATATGCAATACATAGCCTGACCAAAGCAGCTTCTAGTGCTGGACAAAAACCTTCAATACAGTCCTTGTTACATAACCGAACACGTGCTTTTTGCTTGTCTTATTGTGGTCTGGTATGGTTCTACGACAATGTTTGTCAAAGACCTGAAGAGGTATCCGTCCGGCTTTTCAAACATCCCAAGTCTCAAGCATACAAAGACAGCCCATTCCGTATCCTGATGCACACGTCCTTTGACAATCATGGTTACACCGCCTTGACATCATAGGCATTCTAAATTATCAAGCGCAACTCCAACCTCATGCGTAATCCCACAATTATGTAAGTCTGAGATTATAGGGGACCCATTATGTTGAGAAACTTCGGGAGAATTTCTCTCTGAGCAAGCGTGTTGGCGAGAATTAACTTGTCAAGCTAGTTAAATGAGTCCAGGAAAATTAGGGAAACGTATGACTTTCTAGCACCTGAGAGAACGTGGAGGCGTGGTCAATGCGAAGCCGAAATCAGCAAGGCCAAAATCTCGCTTACCCCTACACGGGAAAAGTCTTCTAACAGCTAGATTCAACCTGATCTCCCTGTGATTGTCTCATTCATCATCGGTCTCTTTTTTGAACCGGGCACCATTACAAATTCTTCTAGGTAGTCCGGACCACCGCACGATTCCCAAATGGTATCCGAGAAATCAAACAACCGTTGACTGAGGACTTCTCTTTGTCTCTGTACAGTGCCAATCGGGGCCATCCAGACCAGGAGCTTGGTGTCGCTTGTAAAAACAAGTTCATATAGGTTCTTAGGTTAATTGTTTAGGTGACAGAATGCGGCAAGAGAATTAGCTGTTCAGAGTCCTTGATCCGGTGGCTGAGGCGTCCACCGTTATTAAATATGGTCAAAGTAGTTTGATTTTAAATGGTTTCGCTCACTAGCGAGTCGCATGGATCAGTCGGAATAGTCATCGCACGTTATTGGCATTCTGTCTCTTTTCCCTCCTTAGCTTTCCATATCCACCAAGCTTGACGGTCGAAGTTCAGTTGATGTCTGATAACTCACTGGCTCGAATCGTGTTTATGGCCAGCAGTAATTTTCCTGAGATTCAATCTGATATCCGTTGCTTCACTGAAGCTGGTGGTGCCGCGGCATCGTTGAAATTTCTGGTGCTGTACAAAGATGTAACGATTTCCCATGACCATGTTTCCCACAACCAGAAATTTTACACCACATTGCGTGATACCACCAACCGAGTCGTCTTGCTTGTTGCTTACAGCACGGCGGGTAAGCGAAATAATAGCCTCTGCAGACGCGTGCTTTTTTCTTCTCTCGCATCCCATCAATAGTACTCCTTGTAGGTCCCACTGTTTGGACTGATGATTTCGTTTGTCCTGCATCACATGTGAATGTGACATCTGTTGGTCAGCCAACACTGACAGCCTCAGGCATCTTAGAGTATCATCTTAAAATGATTTTCCATTCATCTGATGATAAAATTGACAATTCTAAATCACTATATCGTTTTCAGTACGCACATTTTACATCTGTGTATGGAGTTATGATGTTTAAAACGGTCAGTCCCACGAAATTTCGGGGTTCACACTGACGTTCAAGGACGTTCAAACCAGCTTCACCTTCCACATAGTTGTAAATCGGTTTTAATCAGGTTGGGTTTGCTTCAAGGAATGTTAACTCTGGATATATTTTGGAACTGTTTGGTTTCAAAACAACCTGAATCTTGGTCGGACGGCTACCGGTCGACAGATATTCTTAGCCTCGGCTAGATGGTGGAGACTTACTTTCAGTACATAATTTCGGTGCTCATATTTAACATTGAAAATTGTTTGTTATGCGATTTCAGATAATATCATGACATTAGGCCATGCCAACTACGGATGTATTTGGTATGAAAAAGTAATTGTGATAGTTTCAAACAACCTGACGTTTAACGGCGATAAAAACACCAACGTTAGTTTGAAAAGTATTTTGAAGCAGTTTCATTCTTGTTAGGGCTCATTAGCAGTGTACATCTCACGAACACGTGACCGTCACATACCGTCAATCTATAAGTGGCTCAGGAGAAGAACGATATCACAAGGTCAGTGAAACTTCCATGTGAGAAGTTATCACTCAAGGAGCCACTCAACACTTGTGATCGTGTAATGTGGTTTCAGTGACTGGACTATAAGTGGCCCTACATCCTAATTGGGAGCTAATCACACTACTTTCCAGCCATTCGAGGTTGAATGGTTAAGTTTTTCAATCACTAACCGGAAGATCGTGGCTTCAAAACTTCCTGCTAGCTTTTCGTGAGATGCCCAGGAAGGATGAAACAGCTGTGCAGTGCTTCTCAGCCTTCCCGCATAGATTGATTTCACTGACAGGATGAAATCTCAATCAATATAATTACTGTATTGCAAAAACCACGTTGATGAATGCAACAGGAAGTGAACATTTCGAAAACAGGGATTACCCGTTATTTATTGAATCATCGCGAGCAACTTTGTTCATTTGCAATAAACGAACCTAAAAGTTACCTACCCTCCTCCGAAAGCTGAGATTCAGAGATAGCATGCGTGTAGTAATTACGCAAAGAAAACTTGTCAAACGATACTTCAACGGTAGCGCATGAGTGGTCTGTCCCGGAGAGGAATCGGTACCCCGTTTCTACATGACTGAAACGCTCAAGACGTTTGTGGCAGGATTCGAACCTCATAGGTTTAGACTTGAATTTCGGCACAATTCCAACAGATTACCAACCCAATTTGTGGCCCAGAGGTTCTATGGATTTGAATGAAGTACACTTGATTCAAGTAACATACTAGTTAGTAATTAGAATGCTTCTTTCTAATTTTCGCTGTCCTCAAGGGGGATGTAATGATTACCCCAGGCAACTTTGGTCAAACTTTCATGCAGTGAAACGTAACTTTTCGGTAAATCCCAACCGTATTCTCTAAGTTTCGTTACTTACTTAGCTCGGTATATAAGTAGTATTCTTAGCTATTTCCAAAGAGTCTTAATTTCAGTACTCGAATTTTTTCTGTCTGTCTGAATTTTCTGTCAGCGCTAAACATTTACATCAGCAAAACCTGCTGTCTGCACCAAACCAACCATCAAGTTTTCAATCAGTAGAGTCCACAATGAAGGTGAACCATCAGTACAGCAGGTAACCAATAGTCTCACAGAAGACATCTTCATGTTTATTTCCTACCGGTTCTAGGCTACTGGAGTAGAGCAGTGTTCAACCGTCTGACAAAAGATTGTTCCCAGATTTACAAACAAGGTTAAATTTACTTCCTAGGGAAGGGGATTTTTATTGTTTAGGTCATGCGTGATACACTGACTTTCCATGACTGCAGATATGCGATGAGGAAGGACACAGTGACTCACCATTTTGTCACCGTTGGCTTGATGCAAAACAGATGTGCTTTGGCCAAAGGACACAAATATAGTTGACTAGAATTTTCAGTTCTCAGAAGCCATTTGTGCAAAATATGTACATTGTACTCATTGTTACGCACACAATCACTTCTTCGGTGCTCGGAAATCCACTCTGGAGGGAGAAAAAGTGTAAATTGTTTGTGATGGGTACGTCGACGGATATCAGCGTAAACCAGGTGGCCACGTTTATAAACAGCTCAGCTAGAGAAAATTGTGGGAGTGATTGAACTGGAAATAAGCTGAAATGAAAACAAAATTAAAAAAGCAAGTTATTTGCAACTAAGTGTATTTCAATAATTTCGTGCAATTAGGTTTCAATTAGAACATAAGGTTGACAGAAACCCGGGGACTGCGGCTACCTGATGAGCCCGAAGAAGGGCGAAACCGGTCGTGGGCTGAACTGGAGATAATCTGTAATTAAAACCATTCCAAAAATAATAACAAAAGCGTACTTTTGATAGTCTTCCGATGTAAGACAGCTAACAAAGCTGATCTTACAAGCAGACTGTGATGCATATAGTGTTCTACTTCGCAAACTTCGTTTGGTGGCTTACTTAGATCTTTTAACCGATTTTTTGTACACTACCTGGTGATATATAATTTTGGTAGACTGACGTTTTCTCCATAGCCCTCTGGGAAACACACCCTTGCGCGTTTGTTTTTTCTTTCTGTCTCTGTTTACCTCAGCCTATTGTGCAACTGATTAAATTTATTCGCAGTAACGTCGTCGAGGATAAATAACATATACTGTAAATTATTAACCAATAAATAACAATAATAAAATATAGTATATACAATATAATATATCTTATATAAATGTGATAGATGATATATAACATAATAATAATAAATAATGTCGAATGATATCGTCAAGAACACGGTCGGTCCCGTGTTAGTTCACGGAAGATACTCTCAATAAAATGTGCAAAAAAACCCAGTTCTCTACGAATAATCTGCACCATAACAAATTTGAGATATGGCTACCATATACAAGTGCAACACGAAAGCTAACCAGATAGGAAGTCAGTGCGTGTCTAGACATATGCTTCACAGCATCTTTGCTGAGCATAAAAAGACACCTGTTGTTTTATCTTAGCTACGGAATATAGGTATGTTTCTGGAGACTCACCGGATTCGGCCCAAACAGGTATGCATCAATCCAAACATGGACATAACGCACTGGTATCATCAACCGACTGGATGAATAAATCAGATCAGGACATCCATGTATATCACCATACGTTCAGCTCCACAAGGTCAGCTCATCCAATCTTGATAACTGAAGTTGTGGCCAACTAGATTGGCTGGGATTGATGATTTTTGTGAAGTACCGCCCCTCCGGTGTAGCCTGCACTGGCAAATGTTGACTGTAAAAATAGCGCAGAAGGAGACCTAGCCCTTGATGTTGAGGCAAGCAGCGAGCAAGATTAGCAGTAAAAGTTCAGGGGAAATTTTCATCTTGAAAGTTCAGTAATGGGTCTCATACAGTTTGATTTCTAACCGTTGTACCTACCAGTACACGGTTTAGTACTCAGATATTCACTTGTGTCTCAGACAAGTGACTGTGACCTCCTAGATTATGCCGCATAGTAAAGCGGGAATTTGGATTCGGAAAAACAGCGTGGGCTTATACTTGTCATCCCATCGACAATTTCCTAACAGGATTTTGAAGACTAGACGAGGAAACAGTGCTTAGTGGTCTTCCTTTAGCAAACTTGTCACCAGTTTCAGATGTAAAATAAATGTTTATTAAGTTTCAGGCTTGGTACAAGTCCAGGACAGTAACAAGCAAGGTTGGTGATCAAACTTCTTAGACCATTGATGGAATCTCCAAAGCGATCATGATCCGGTCGTCTATTCGTCGATGGTCGAAGAGTCTGGCTCCACCATAGTAAATCTGGGTGGTGTTCTTCAGCTTGCTCAAAAGGCTGTAAACCCCGTTGACTACAAGGTCTGCTCAGGCAATACAGTAATACCTCACAGATTCGCGTCCCCCGATACTTAAATTTACCCACCGACTGAACCATAACAAACTGGTATCCACCAATAGTTCGAAGGTTCTTGAAGTGCTTGCAAATTTTTCACCCCAGTGAATGCCAAAGAAACAACAGCGAATGTACTTAATCAGCTCCGTGAATTGCAGCGATACTATTATTATTGTATATGTTTGTGTGGGACGAATCCCTAGCAGATGAAATTTTAACTTTCCTTTTCAGGGCAGTGCATTAAGCTTGATTGTAAACGGAGTCTGTGTGCATGTGTGCTGCCAAAGTTTGGGTTTTAACACTGAAACTGAGCAACTGCAGCACAGTCTTAGGGTTTTTATGGCTCAACCGCACAATCTTGGGTGCTCCTTGATTGCCTTAAAACGTGTAAATTATTACTGAATTCCACTTCACCAATATATTGCGAACTAGCGTTCCGAAGTTACAATGGGAAGCAACAAATTTGCTAAAAATCGCTCACCTGTAACGGCAAACTATTTGTGGCATTTTTGTTGAATACCCACCGGTATACAGCAGTTCTTGAACCTGATAAGATGAAAACGAAAGCTGTCCGTTTCCATTAGAATGTTGTTTTATAAAATGAGATTCCGATAAATCATTATCCCCGGAAACTTAGGATTTAATCACGTTTTTTATGCCTAGTACATGGTGTTCCCGTCGGATGTGGGATATGTCTTGGTGACAACATGTGGTGTTTGATATCGCCAGACCATTTCAACACATTTTATAGACGGTCGTCATACTTAGAAAAATGCCTATGAGAGATGGACAAACATCAATGAATCAAAGGCACTACTTGACGGTACAACCACATAGCGCCGCCTAAAACGCAACTAAAGCAAACAGCTATGAAACAAAATCAATAATAACTGGAAGCAACTCCAAGCTCTCCACAAGATTACAAAAGAGCAATATTGAAGAATGAGAGCTCGGCCTGTCCCCGCTTCTACGGACTCCCAAAGGCACACAAAGAATCTCAGGCCAATTCCTCGAACAGCGATCTACATTCTTTTGAAAAAAAACTATGCAAAACATCTCATCGGTGAGTCTCAACACTCAATCAACAATGCGCGACAATTTTCGGAGAAACTAATGGACGTAAGCATCGATCAGGACGAAATAAGGGTCTCATTTGATGTGAGCTCACTATTCACGTCTGTAGACCTCGATTCGTTCAAGACAACTGTGGCCGAATTATTGAACAACGGCGACATGCGAACTGAATCGCTGAAGAAAGTAGAGTTCTGTAAATCACTTGACTTATGCCTGATAACACATTTGGAGTTCAATGGAGAATATTGTGAACAACTACGAGGGACACTAATAGAATCACTAATTTCAGGATTTATTGCAGAATTCACAATGCAAAAATTGGAACAAATTGTGTTGCCCGATATAAATCCCAAAATATGGATCCGTTCAGTGGACGACACATTTGTGATCATCAAAAGGTGCGAAGTAAAAAGAGTGAGCCAACTGATAAACAACGTTTTCGATGACAACAAATTCACAATCGAAGAGAACAACAAAAAGCTGGTGTTTATGGACGTTCTCATCACTAGATTGCCAAACGGACAGCTAAAAATTGAAGTCTACAGAAAGGCGATACACAGAGACCGAATTCTCAGCTATCACAGCAACCATCCAAATTACTACAAACGAAGCTGCATTCAGGCACCTTTCAAGCGGATCGAGACACACTGCAGCACAACAGAATCAAAGATCAAAGAAAAAACGTCTATACAAGTCGTTTCAGAAAAGTGGATACCCGAGGAATTCAATATGTAGGTCACTCAGGAAGCCAAATACGATCGATCCGACAGCACAAAGTGTAAGCAAACGAGTCAAACTCCTATACGCCGCTGAAATGACGGCAAGGCTCTTAAGACAGCATAATATAACGGTCGATTACGAGCCTGCGAATACTTTGCGGAGGACACTATCAAGACCAAAATGGAAATTAGATCTAATTACGAAGAACAGTGTCGTATATAGGATGGAAGTGTGGTACTCTAATAAGGGTGGTATCAACAAATACATTGAAATTGATTCCATTTACCAACCACCAAGAGCGAGAGAAAGCCGAAACCACAGAGCTTTGAGCTGAAAAACTAACCACTCGAGGAACTCATAAGGGAAACGGGAAAGCCCCACTCAAACGGACACATCGATTGGATTGGAGAAGGCGCCCAACCGAAGCACCAAGTTAACAGGCGGACGAAGGGACACTGACCGTTACAGTGGAAAAAACAGGGCGGTGCAAACAGCCAGTCAAGTTCGAGAACGTCAGACCACAACGCAATGTCAGTCAAGGCCAGAGAATAAAATACTAATAACAAAAGGCGTTGGATAATCAATCAGCACAAAGGAACACAGACCACAACGCAAAAAAGATCACAAGTTGACCAATAGGGTCACGAAAATCGTAATCCGCAAGTAGTCACTCACGTCAGAAGATAACAGATAGTTTTCAAATGCTACATAGATACACGCAAGCACTGATGATGTATCCTCCTACAGTGACCAAACTTTTCCATGCCTGTTTTCAAGCTCTGTGAACAGATCAACAGTCACCTGATCAACAACCAGTGACCTAGGAGACCTCAATAAAGTGGTTAAATTCACAGAACGATTCATTCTCATGAGTTTACAACCGTTAAAAGAGAAAACTTTCAAATCGATCAAAAGCCGTACTCCTTTAAGTGGTCGCTTTTTCATAGTTTGACAACTACGAACCGATCCTTATGGTCTTTTTGTGCCATTATGCTAAAGTCAACCGTGTTGAAAACAGAGAAGACCTCATTGGGAATGGGCCAGTCAGCAGGATTCCGCGCTTGTTATTTTGGACAGATCTTTTGCCAGGCAGATATCCTTAGAAACTTCGTACATTCAAAAGTGCTTATACTGGATCCTGTTGAAGTGCCCCCTGCCAGAAGGCCGTCCTTTAGAAACTTCTCGATAATGTTATGAAAAATGCAATGATCGATGTGGAAATATACGCTTATTCAACTGTCCACTGATCCGTTCCATTTGCGGACTCATCTCTTCTTGTGACCAGTATATTGGTAAGTTTGCACCAAAGTCCAGCCCTATTGTTACCATGTTTTTATTTTTTCGTGGGAGCACGAAATGAAACAAAGATGGAGGGACATATTTCGCATTCTTTTCTTCAGTGATCACAGTCACTTTCTGATCAATCGCGAAGGAGCCTTTTCAACGTTCCCCAAGTTCGCTTGTCATATGTAAGCTTATACTGCTCTAAGTATTTCGCATGAAAAACACTCAACTAGCAATTTATCAGTAGAGTCACTGATTGATATCTACCGCAGGTGCACGATATCTATTCAACGAGTATATCGGAGGTTTCATATCACAATAGATCAAACGGTAACTCCATCCTGTGGAACCGCACAATTACTACAGGTGGTTTTCTTACTAAGAAGAAGTATAAACTAATTTTCAACAATCTATTACAAAGATAACCTGATAATCGGATTTTTTCTTAAAATTATATGAGTTATTTATTTCAACCTCTTTGGTCGCTTGATTTGCATGTTTCTGAACAGTGTTTCTTTTGTTACGGAGTATGGATTTTGGCCAAATTTTTGTTCTGAGCTGGTTATACCGTGAACACGACTCTAAACAGTGAGGGTAACTCCATCGCCTGTATTCTGTGTCCCGTACAATCTGGGACGCTGCTT